GGGGTTATACCAGCACCTATACGGTGGCGTACTGAGGATTCAGCAAACTAATTCATGTCAGTGTTCACAGCGGCTCATGGCATGTAATAAGGACTTGGTGAGTGCTAGCTGCTATTACATTGTAATTACCACACTCAACTCATAGTGGGTAAGGACTGTCATGAGCCTACATGCTGTCTAGGTCCTAAGAGGTTCTTTAACAACCAGACAAACCAAGTAAAGTGTAACATCCTGTTCTACTTAGCCAGGCAGTAAGCTCTTTCTCCTAATCCTCTAATAAATGCCCCTGTATTAAGGACTTACGACTCTACCTGTACTTACCCCTAGGCCCAAACACACATAAATACATTTCTCACTGTCTTCTTTTTAGGGGAACTTGATATACCACCTCAAGAAGCCACTGCCACATGAGCCATCACTTGTAATTCCCTTCTTATATCAGGCACAGACCGTGTGTGTGTGCGTGTGTGTGTGTGTGTGTGTTACGGTGTGTGATCACAAAGAGGTGAGAGGTGAGCCAATTAGTAAGATTTCTGAGGCCACTTTACTTTAGCCTACCCTGAAATCAAGGCATGTATAAAAGGCTTGCCCACATGCAATTTGGAAGAGAAGCTCAAAAGTATTTTACACTGGGTTACCAACCTAGTAGTAACCCAGTCATTTGTAATTACACTATCAGTGTTATCTAAAACCCACTAACACTCTTCTCAGTGAAGAACCCCCATGTCAATCTCTGATTAAAATAAAGCAAAAGAGAACAATCTACCTGGTGGGAGGAATAATTCAAATTGCTAAAAGCAAAATACTTATTTCAAGATAATCTGATAAATTATTCTTTTTTACTTGGATAATTCTAGATTTTCTTAGGCTGTTTACAAAGTAATTTTAAAAGCTAAGCTGGAACTTTAGATTCAGCCTTCTGTTTGTGCCATCAAACAAAAATAGATTTTACTAAAGGAGATGATCAAAATTATGTCTAAAAAACATTTTGGTTGTTGGTTATATGAGTACATAATGTCCCCCATTTTGCCTCTTAGCCCACAAAGCCTAAAATACTTATCTGTTCCTTAAAGAAAAAAGTTTGCTGACTTCTACTTTTGTAAAAATATCATTTTTTTTCTCCAAACTAATGTAGAAATTCAATAAAATCCCAATCAACCCCCCACTAAAAAAAAAAAACAAAACATTTTGGTTGCCTCATTAAAAATAAAATTTCTAAAGATCTTTCAAAAACAGGTCCTTAAAAATTTAAATGAAACATAACAAAATGATTTTAAGTGACCTACCTCTTATGCACTTTCTCTGAATTAGAAAACTGAATCACCTGTTTCTCTTACAAAAATACTTTATGAATATGAATATTTATTTAGCAAGGTCTCTGATAGTCTGGATGAAGTTTATTCTTATACTATCTTAATGCAAGGAATTATTTTAAATTAAGCAAACAGTAGGGGGAATGGTAAGCCATTTGGGAACCAATGGTTTTAAAGCACTTAGAGGATTATATACACTATGTATGTGCTAAATCTAATCATGCATATCTCATGTGCCAAGAAGGTTTTAGGGACCTCTTCTGCAGGGCAATTACATACACAGCCTATTAGCTTAGCTCTAGACACTTAAAACTTTAAAAAATTTGAAATATACCTGCAAAAGATTATATACAACCTGGCAGATACCAGTTTAACTAGATCAGTAATAATCAGGCAGACTGATGGCACGTAACTCCTTATATGATGCAGCGAGAACACCACAATGTCACCTCTGCAGTATTCTTGGCGGAAGTGCATAATCTGGATCTAATTATGAAGAAAGAGTGGACAAACCAAATGTACACTGTCCCTCACAGTCTATAAAATAACTGGTCTGTGCTAGACAAAGTGTTAACATCATAAAACACCAACAAAAACCTGTGGAACTGTTCCAATGTCATGGAGACTAAAGAGACATGCTGGCCAAATACAACATGTAACCTGGGAATTCTCTTTCGCTATAAAGGATGCTACTGGGGCAGCAGATGGAATCTGAATTAATTCTATAGATTACAGCATTCAGTCAACGTTGATTCCTGATTTTGAGAATTGTACTGTGGTAATATAAGAGGGTTGTCTTTATTTTTAGGAAATACTTAATTATTTAGAGATAAAGGGGGACATCATGTTTGCAACTTTCTCAAATGGACCCTAAAAAAGTTAACATGAGAAAGATCATGCAAATTAAAATACTGACATTTGGGGAACCTGAGTGAAAGGTATGTGGGAATTCTTTGTACTTACAACTTTAAGTCTGAAATTATGTCAAAAATTGAAAGAATAGTATACATATGCCACGTGTATTAAAAAAAGAAACAGACCACTTTTAAGAAAAAGGAAAAATTATAAAGAATTATAGTGGACCCTTTGAACAATACAAGGATTAGGGGCACTAAGCCCCCACCCCCAAAAAACATGCACGCAGTTGAAAATCCACGTATAACTTTTGACTCCCAAAAACTTAACTATAAGAGCCTACTGTTGACTGGAAGCCTTAGTGATAGCAAACAGTTGATTAATATATATTTTGCGTGTTTTATGTATTATATAGTCTGTACTCTTATAATAAAGCAAGCTAGAGAAAAATATTGTATTCTCCAAATTGTCACAAATCTCCAGAAAATATTCCAATGTATTTATTGGGGAAAAAAAAAGTGTGCATAAGTGGATCCATTGCAGTTCAAACCTATTTTGTTCAAGGGTCAACTGTAGAACTAAAACTTTGAAGCTCTGTATGTTCAATTACTTCTTAAACTTGACAGAGAACGTACTAGTCCACATAAAATAGGCTTTACTTAACCTTACTTCCTTTTACTCTCTCAATAGTGTAATCCGACAACAAAAAGAATGTAAGTTAAAAAGGAAGTGCAAATGCTTTTAGTACAGAGCTCAGGGGAGACCGCATACTGATCTACCCCACTTTCTCTTCAGGCTCAGGGTCACACAGTGAGTGGGACATACAGGCATAATCCATGTTAGGTTTAGAAGGTTGCTGACTGTGCTTTATAAAAGCGTTCTTTTTAAAACTATAGCTCCTATTAGAAAAACGAGGTTGGGTAAGTATAACTTCTCAGGAGAAGAGCACTTTAAACTTCATGAAGGCAAGAGTTCGCGTTTGTTTTGCTCACTGACATTCCGAGCACCGAGACAGGGTCTGCAAAGAGCTGGTTTCTCAAGAACACAGCTGTGGGGGGAGTAAGAAGGCAGCAAGTACTGCATGAGGCAAGGTGCACCTGGAGCTGGGCTTTAATTTTTGCTTTATTTTAATTTCTCGGTTTCAGAATGTCTGATGGTCACTTATATTGAACTGGAATTTATTTACAGCAGTGTCTTTGCTATGCTTTTTGTACAGTTTCGCACTGAAAAAATACTGAACAAGATTTCAGATGTGTTAAGCAGTGGTTTGAAAATCGCTTTTTTTCAAATGAAGGGCTTTTCAAATGTTCTTAACCACTCACTTCTAGATCTTGCTAAGGTGCCTTATTATATAGTCCACATGACCCCCTTGAATGTTAGCTAAATATGAATTGGTGATATCTGAATTATTGGCGTTATTCTATCTGCTATTGAAGCAGTGTGGAAGGTAAAGTACTACTGATAAAAAATAAAATGTTCCAACCTTTAATTTTTCAAAGGAAATGCATAAAAATTAGAAAATGCTGCTAAACAATGGAAAGCATTCTGCTTGCTGGTGAAATAAAAGATTCATCATTACACGGTCTCAGACACCACCAGCTGTAAACTTTTAAGTTCTTGGGAACGTTTTTTCATTGGAACTGAAGGGACCTCATGATATTTTTAAGGCTCTTCTATCTGTTCCATTCTTGCTTTCAAAGTTATTTGGAGATTAGGATTTAACTGCGGGAGAGGAATTCCAGCCAAGGTTCTCGGCTGGGGGTGGTGAGTACAAGGCCCAAGGCCAAATTCGAGGAGGCCAAGCCTAAGGCCATCACAGGCAGTCCCACCTCCAGTATGTCTACTCAGGAGAATTCACGTTGAAAAAAATAAGAGGGGAAGAGAGAGAAGGAACGCGAAGAACAGAGAGAGGAAGAGAGGGCGCAGCATGAGGCCAGAACGGGGCAGGGGAGGTCTTCACTGTCATGTCCTGTGATGCTGGTGGGTCAGGGACTGTCCTGAACATGCCTCTTTTCTCCATCACCGCACCACAGGGAAAGGGAGAAAATGAACACCTGTCCACTACTATATGGCAGGAACTGAACTGGACGTTTTAAATAATAAACAATGGCTGGCATTTGACTGCTAATTCTGAGCTAGACACTGTGTTAAGGGCTTTATAGATACCATCTCAGTTATTCTTCCCAACACCTCTAGGACGTTGGCACTCTTATTTTCTCATTTTGCAGACAGAGACACTAAGGCCTAGAGAAAGCAAGTAACTGTCCAAGGTCACTTAGTAAGTTGTGAGGCTGGCACATAAATACAGCCTGGTTCTAAAGCAGGGTTTCCATTTGTGTGTGTATGTTGTGGGGAGTGGTGGCCACAGATTCCTTCTAATACTGACAAGCCCCAAATAATCTTGCTAGTGCAAAATGAATATGCATTAATATACAACGAATTGAGAGAATTCAAAATGTATGTGGCTTGGAAAGAAGGGGAGACAAAATGCATTTGAAAATTTAGTTATCAACACAACTGATCAGAGATAAAGTCACCTGCAAGAGGCAGGCGGGCACCTTGACAACATGACATGGTGTTAACTCTATCAGCTGTGCCAGTACAGTCTAAGAAATGGGTGCGCTGGAAGGTGGAGGTTTGGTTCACCCCAAGCCAAAAAGGGTGAGTGAGGGTGGGAAGTGGCTAGAGCCCACCCGGAACTGTTCTAGCAGGAGAGGGACCCCTGGGCAGGGCTGACTGCTGGGAACCAGAGATTCCGGAATGTTGGTGGAGTGATGTCATCAAAACTTGCCAATCACAGACCAAATTTTCACTGTTCAATTTATCCTTTGCTCAAAAGGTGTAGATTTTAATTTGGCGACCTGTGTAGGCCTCTATCTGCCAGGGGAAAATATGCGATTGTGGTGATCTGAGCGTTTGTCATTTTAAATTAATAAGCCTGTCCTGGTTATATATCTCCTCCTGTGTGAGTCTGGAAAGGGTGAACTTGCCTCAAAGACATTCTGGGCCAGGCACAGCAGCACCACGGCTGGGATGGAGGTGCCCCCTGTGCCAGCCTGCCTGCCTCCAGAACACCGTGAACCCCAATGGGTATGCCACCGACTTCCCGGGCAAGCGCTTGTTTGGTCATTGCCTTTAAGGATGTATGTCAGGGTCTAGCACAGCAGCTCTCAACGTGTGGCTGAGGGCCTTCCTCATCAGGGGGATGGGAAAAGATGTGAGAAGTCAAAATTACTTTCATCATAATATTAAGCCATTATTTGTCCCTTTCACTTTCCAATGAGCGTAGAGAGGCTATAGGATATGTGATATCAAAACAATAGCTATGAGAATCTAGCTCTTTTCCATTAACCCAGAGAGTTGCAAAAATTCTAAATAATGCTCACTTTTTTTTTTTAAATGGTCATAAAAAATATTACATAGCATCATGGGTTTATGACTATTATTTTAAAACAAATGAACATTAAAAAATTTCTTGGTTTTAATTTTTAATATAGTAAATACCAATAGATAAAGCTGTGATCCTTAATAATGAAAGAGTGCCAAGGTGTTCTAAGACCAACAGATGTGAGAACTATGGCTCCAGTGGCCTGACAGGCCAGTACAGGAGCCAGAGTGTTTCCAGAGTGTTCTATGAGCCAATCTACCACTGAGAGACTAATGGCTTCTCCTGGGCACTGTTTGTTTCTGCTTTGGTATGTACACCCATGGAAAATCTCCTTCACCTGCGTCTTACCTTTACTTCCATACAGTTCTGGAGGCAGATCATACGGCACGGGAAAGGAGGCTGCTGGCTCCTGGCTCCCTGAGGAGAATTTCTGCTTCACTTTGAAGCTGTCCAGGCCCTGTAAACACATAGAAGGAATCCGTGATTGCACCCCAGTTTCTGAAAAAGATCTCAAGAAGCAACTGTGTCTTGATGGTACTCACAACATAATTTATTTCACAACTATTTTCAATGTTTGATAGGTCAAATATATTTCCAACTCCCCTAAATTAATCTTTCCTAAAAATAAGGGGATTCAAATTTTGGGAGTTAAATTACAACAAAATTCAAAAAAGTTTGATAAAGGAAATATACAAGAGAAACAACTTTGGATATTATAGCCCATTTCTATTAACTGCTATATACAGTTTGCAGGGAGTATGTAGAAGGCACTGTATAAAAATACCTCAAGATACTTTCAGTATTGCTATAGTAACAGGCTGCTTACACTGGTCTAAGAAATAAAAGTTGTTTTCACATAGAATGAAAGCATTCCAATATAATGTGATAGGAATATATAAATGAAAACTCTTTAAGACCCACCAAAAGGGAAGGTTTATTACAGAAGCTCCAGAATAGGGTATTAATTTTAGATCTTAATCAGAGTTCAAGTTAAGGTTCTGTATCTAGGCCTACATATATAACTACCATTGCCTTCTAACACAGGTCCTGCAGTTTAATACGTTAGCTTTTGTTCTCCTTGTGCCTCCACATACTGGGCACCTTCTAGTCATTTTCACGGATTATCTGGTCACCTTGTTTGCAAGTCTGTCCATCTGGGTCTCATTCCTTCTGTCCACCAATCCAACCCATCTTTCCTATCCTAAATACCCACATGTCAAGCAGTACTAATGTCACAGGAATGCATACAAAGAGCTAGGCCTGCAGTTCTGGGTCTTAGTGATCATGTCAACTCAGTAGGGGAGGCTGCTCACACGCACAGTATTTGCTCTGGCATTTACTGAGCCACATGAATGGCTAATGTGTGAACTCATTCATTCAACACATTATTTCTTGAATCCCTCTTCCATGTCAGGCATGGATGCCAGGCACTGAGTATATAGGAGTTAGAATATCATTAGCCCTGTCATCAAGGGTGTGCAGTCTGGTGGGGAGACATTAAACAGATGTACTGATAAAAGTAAAATAAATCTGTGATAAGTGCTCTGAAGAAAAACAGTAGAGAACTAGAGGAGAGAAGTGTAGGCCTGTTTCAGACTTGTAGGGAGGGATGGTCAACTGAAGCCTCTCTAAACAACGACACTTAAACTCTGAAAGATGAGTGCGGCTTGGTCAGGTGAGGTTACAAAGGATGTTCTGGGTGGAGGGAATAGCATCTGCAAAGGCTCGGAGGTGGCAAAGAATATCCATGTTCCAGGAACTAAAAAGAGGACCAGAGGGACACTTGGCCACTTATTTACTAGGCCTCAATTTCCTCATTTGGAAAACTGGAATAATATAGCACCTGGGTATTGCCAGATTAATGTTTCTCACTTCAGCACCCAGCTTTAAGTCCTGCTGCATAGCTGATGGTCAAGCAACCTGAGCTGTAAATTGTGTTTACTTTACTGCTTCATGGGCTTCTGCATTAAAGCAGATGAAATAACATGCATGAAAGTGCTTTGTGCACATTAAGAGCTACGGAAAGTTATGGGTTTATAGCACTGATGAAGATGGTGGTTAGTTATCAGTGAAAGGCAGTAAAGGACTGAAAAGGCAGAAACGACCTTTCACCAGCTACAGAATAAGAAAAGTTTTGTAGAAAATACTTGAAAAATGGGTATAATTTTGATAAACAGAAAAATGGCAGGGAAGATGGGGAGACTAGCATGAGCCAAGGTAGGACTGGAAAAGCCTGGAGCGGGCACGTCCGCGGACAGGGAGTGAGTGAACGGGGTGGAGCAGGAGGGCTGGGCGTCGGTGCGGAGGAGGGGCAGGGCCAGACTGGTGGGGGTCGGGATGGGAGGCGGCATGGCATCTGCGGCTTGTACCTGCTTAACTAGGTACAAGTGCCTAGTCACGGTGCCTCAGGATGGGCAACGTGGCCCAAGGCAGAGACTGTCTCTCTGTTGGGGGCCTCATTGGGAAGATACGAGTCTTGAGCTGCTGGGGCTCTCGTGTCCATTGAACCGAACTCTTACAAGAAGGCTGAAGCCCCTGGATTCAGCCCTGCCTGAAGCAAGGGCCTTGCCCTCCGTGTTTGCCTCTTACACTACTTGGGTCAGTTCCGTCCTTTACAGGACCCCGGTTAGAGCACGGCCTTTACTGTGATACACAGCGAGGAGCTGCAGAAGGGTTCTGAACAGAGAAGTTCCACTGTAAAGGCAGACTGGCACAGACTGGAGGATGGATCGGACTGGGCACTGCCAGAGTCTGAGGACAGAGAGGTATTGTAATTCCAACTCAAACAAGCAGATTAGGGAATGGGAATAGAGATACAAATTTTACGTATCATCATAACAAAAGCTGAGATACAAATGAAGTGAGTTTGTATGAGTGGGACTCAGGAGAAACAGAAAAACAAATAGATTTGAAAAAGGGAAAATAAAAACTAGGGACCTCTGGGGGCAGAGGAGGAAGGGAACAGGGAGACCAAGGCCACCTGGAGGAGGCCGCTGCAGCCTCTCCCCCACCCTACCTCCTACAGAGCACAGGGCGGCTGGGCCAGCCCTGCAGCAGCCAGCACCGGGGGCCCTCCTCACATCTTCTGACGTATTCGGGATCTCAGGATAATCCTAATAATCTCCCACTTTGTATATCATTTGCTGAGTGCCTCTAGGTAAGCTACATAACCTTTCTGGGCTTGAGTTTCCTCATCTATTCAATGTCTATGGTAAAGATAAGTCACTTAGAACAAGGACTGGTGTGAGAATATAAATTCGTATAACATATTCAGGCTCTTCTTTGTGACATAATTATTCCTATTTTACAGGGGAGGAGATAAATTTGGAGGTTGAATAGCTGCCCAAAGCCACACAGCTATTCTGTGGCAAGGCCAGAAACTGAACTCCGCTTCTCTGATTCTTGGTCCTATGTTCCTCTACTAAGTGAACAAACGGCTTTACCTTCACCCACCAGGAGCCATGACAAAGCAAGTATCCCTTGAAAACTTCAGAGGCAATACTAAGGTAAGAGAAGTCAAGATGAGCCAAATTCTGGAAATCTTGGTTCTTGACATTTTTAGAAGGAAAGAGGCCAGAGGTTGGGAGATAATACCCACTTAATGAGCATTAAATCCCTTTATGTAGTTTCCAGGTAAAAATGACTTCCCTCTTCCTTAGCTCCTAGCCTATTTCTGTTATTTTTCAAATGCATTATGGCAAAGAATCAAGAGTCTTTACAGCCTGGACCCAGATCTGCAGCACCGCATGTTTCAGAGCTCCATCCTGCAGTGTCTGACTTCACTGGTAAGAAGCTTCGAGCTATCCATGTTTGACAGGAAGAAGTATGTTTTTTTTTTTCTTGAAAGGCATTTCTGATCCAAATTCTATGGTATTATAAGAAAAAACAAGTGCCACTTTTCCCTTCAATCTGGATGTCAAGTAATTTGAGGCTGTCTTTTAATTATCATTATTTATGTATCACAGTGGTATCACTTGGCATTTCACAAAACAGAGGAAGGCACCCTCCCAGGCACAGACACTCAAAAGACAGTTAAGACAACACATTTATAAAACACCAGGTGAGAGGGTGGACATGTATCACATATGAAAAATTACTAGCTTTTTCCTTCATCAACTTTGGGAGTAAAAGAACTCTTTATCACTATGATAGATTAGGTTTAGCAGCTTAACTCAATCATGGAGAACAAGAAACATGCTCACATTTCAGTTAGAGATGTAATTTACTTTTTAGTTGTATCTAACTGAGTAGCATCCTCAAGCAGTAAAATGCTATACCAGGTATCAAATGTTCCTGGGTAAAACAGCAATGGCAATGGAACCTCCTAGAAGGAGCACGCTTAGTCAAAGACGGACTTACTGACAAGGAAATTAATTGCAGGAAGGTGGCTGTCGTGTCCTTCCTGTAAGACAATATGTGATCAACAACTGGAAGTAGCTGCAGCTAAGGGCTTAGGAAAAGCTTACGGGTGTACCTAACAGGGCCAAAAGGATGGGCTTCTGACTGGCAAAGGCTGACTGGTTGTGCCAGCGTGGTAGAGCACACTTCAGAAGCAGAAAAAGTAACCCTGGGTGTGATGTCAAGATGTTGATTCACTTGGAGTTCGGTCTTCAACCTTCTGCTGAACTAACTGCTTAGTTTACATGCAGTGCTCTCCTGCTAATATTAATTGCAACCTGTGCTCAGTACTTGCTAAGTTCCAGGCATTGTTGTAAATACTTTACTGGTAATAACTCTCAATTCTCCAATGATCCTGTGAGTTAGTTACTGCACTGTCCCCATTACACAGCTGAGAAAAGGGAAGCCTACAGAAGTGAAGTCACAGGCCCAAGGTCGAACAGCTTCTATGCAGGGTCCTGGTTCCACTCTCTTGTCATTTTGGCTACTCTAGACCCAAGGTCCCTAAATCCTCACTGTGTGCTCCGGGAGAGCTCCTTGGTCCCTGGAATCTCTCCAATGTGCTCTTCTATATTCTGTCTCTCTCCAGGTTATTTCAGAGTTTCTAACCGAGGCAAAGAACGGTAGCAAGGGATCACACAACTAGTAAGTGGCAGTTGCTGCCATAGCCAACCCCACATGCGCCAACCAACTTCTGCAGGTGACTGGAGCCTGGGGTGGGGTGGGGAGCACACACGAAGTTCAAGTCCATGGTGTGCCATGATGTCGCGTTTAAAGGCCTCTGGACATCATCTCCTGGGCCAAGAGGAGCTGCTGAAGGTTAATGGCAGGGGAATATGGACCCTGGTGGGTGGGCAGAGACACAGCTTCAGAAAGAGTAGAGGGAGAAGACAAAGACCTTCAGTGACAGAAAAATTCTAGCCAGGATGGAGGGGTCAGGATGTGGCAACTGGATGTGGTGGGTGTGAGGAAAGAGAATGGGAGGATGTGGCCTCATAGCCAAGTGGGAGGACACGAGGTTGGGAGGAAACACTGCTTGAGTCAGTGCTGTGCAGCTGT